ATGAGCAAAGCAGATATGAAGAGAAAATGGGTTTCGATGAATCTCCTGAGATAGCAGTGTTGGGGGACTTTTATTTCCTATGAAAGTGCATGAAGAAGAGATTCGTTGGTCGATCTCACCAGATGAGGATGGATTAATCTCTTTGTACTGCAGCCGTTTGGCTTTTATACAATATTCATGTTGACGCAGTCCAAAAGACTTCCTGGATTTAAATAACAATCACCTAAAATTATGTAATCGTAGCACTAATTTATTGTTATAACAGTCAAATTAAATTTAATAGACGCGCTTATTTATTTTATCTACTTTGTTAAATTAAAATTTTATAGCCAAAAAATAGAAGCTTCATTAGATCTGCAGAAGAAACTACCAGAGAAATGGCAAGACAACCGAGCCTTACCCCACTCCATGTTGCAAATCAGCTGACGATGAAGTTGACAGGTCATAGTTCACTCAATAACTTACCTTCCAGTTTTTTCACTAAATTTCCTATATGTTCGTAATTAAAATGAATTAATCAGTGAAAACAAATAATAATAATAATATTAATAACAAATTTTATGAGATTTTAAATCCGTTTGTGGTACATTATTAAAAACATAAAACATATTCTTTTAATAAAATTCGCATACACCTTTTTTCCAAATAGCACTACCCCCTCACTCTTGACAAATTAAATTTTTCCATTCGCAAATCAATTTTAGTAACGAAATGGGCTAATTTATGGTTATGCAGGCAGGATGGTCAGATGCTGGAATCACAGCCGCCTGTAGGCGGCACCATCGATGAGCTACTACCACCTCTTTTACAACGACTACAGCATATACAGCCTATAGTCCGGCTGTCTGCAATCCTGGAAGCCACCAGATTATCTGTTCTTCACTTTGTTATGGAAAAAGGCCTTTATTTAATCAGTGAGCCAGCTAAAAAAACTGAGATTATGCCGACTGAGTACTCCAATACTCTGTCTTGGTTGATCGAATGTAACGGGCAAGCAGCAATACAAGAGTCTAATAAAGGGAAACACATTCACAATGAAATTGCTTTACCAGGTAGGCTTGGCTTGTCGTTCTTATTATAAATGGAAAAATTCCTTAAGTAAATTCAATAATGCTGTTCATTTCTCACATTTTCCCTTACAAATTCCATGCTTCCACTTCTGATGGATATGGTTGGACAAGACTTGTCTTCCTGAGAACATTCCTAAATAATACATTCTAATTAGGTCATTAGTAAATAAAGTATAAATTTTACTTCTATTCATTTTAGGAATCCGCTCATTAAAACTTCTTCAAGTTAGTATTTTAAGAAGCCATTTCCAGGAAAACTATAAGGCAATTAAATTTTTACTCATGTCCTGTGACAATCAACAACAATATTTATTATAAATATTGTACTCGAGCTTCGTGCATATGAAGTCCATGACATTGTAGCTAACCGTTAAGTCCCTGTACTGGATGGCTCTCAAGATTTGACTTGGTCTAATTTTTTCCGCCGGTTTACACTAGGCATCGCCATTGTTGTTGTAGCACTAATTTGTTAAGTTTGAGAGATTAGGCTGTGTGAATGTTCTGAGATTTTCTGTGAGACTTCTTCATTATAGCGAAGAGCGTTACTGAGATACAAACATTAATAAGACAAAGATACAGGAATAGGGACAAGGGTGACCAAAACTCTGTCGAATAGTCATAGTATCCTTACCCTTATTTTCTTTTATTTCATATTTGATAGTTCTGCTTTATCGGATACGAATAGGAGAAAACTTTAAATATACCAGACGATTATTAAGTAATCCCATATTTTAATAGCAGAATTTGTGGATAATATCCTTCATATATGCTCATTTGTAATAAGTATGATAGATACCTTTGACATCACGCCAGAGGCCAAATATTTTCCCGTCATGTATGCTACATATCTATGCTTGCTTTCATGACAGTTGGTCTACAACAAGATTGAGGATGAGCGAGTAAGTTATTTGAAATTAATTTAGCAATAAATTTCTGCCCACTTTAACTAGCGTTAATGCTTATAATTTGTGTTCAACTATTTAAGCATATGTTAAAGTATTTATCCTTTTCATAAGTCCAGATTGCCATTAGTTGCCATTAGTTCTATCAACACAACTCATTTGCTTTATGATTAAATTAATCCAGAGCGAATTATATTAGACCGGTAATCATATAACAAAGCATTTGTACGTACAGGGGGGTCTGAATATATCATTAAACACTTAAAGCGCGATAAAATTGGTAGATACAGTTTGTTTTATACAAGATTTTAAGCAGGTTATAGGACAATAATAGATAAATCCCTCCACTTTTTTCAAAGCAATCATGTATTATCTAAGATACGAAAAATGATGTGACTTCCATACAAGTATAAAATAAAAATCTAAACTTCGCAAAATATCAATATTTTGCTTGTGTTTTAATCAAAGATCAAGTTTTTGTACACATTGAGCGTCGAATAATAGTGCATAGGCCTCTTGGTTGCATGCGAGTCTTTCCGCCATGCTAAACTTAGCCACATCACCTTATATTTAAAAAAAAATTAGTCTCATTCATATAAAATACAAATTATCCTTGTTTTAGACGAACGAAGTACCATACATTTTTGGTAGCCATTTTCTAAGGGAGATCGAGAGATGATAAGTAAGCTATTTAGCAAAGTTTGAAATAAATTATTATGCTTAGCAATACGGTTCTTAAATTTAATTAAGACTTAGCAGGAAAAATATATTATATCTACTAGTTAGTTCGTGTCCCTTTGTTTGCAACAGATGAAGAAAACATTATATACAGACTACCGGACACCCTGCTGTTGAGTCTTCGTCGTTTGGTTCGAGATCAGCATTCTCAGGTGTCTTTGGCTGCCTCACTTTGTCTTTTCAGCCTGCAAAAGGGCGTATGTGGAGAAATCGAGGCGATGCGTGTTTTACAGGCTGTGTGCAAAGAGGCATATAAAATTAGACACCACCCCAGGAGCGATGGACTTCATTATCAAAAGATAGCGGAGGCAGGGGATCATATCGCTGAGGTTATAATCGAAGAAAAGATTCAAAGTGATGGAAAAAACAGACCGAATATGTGCGAAATACGTAAGCGAGAAGAAGTATTTGACGAATTTAATGAAGGGGGAGAGGGCGAAGAAAATCAGACGGTGAAACTGGGCTACATCGAAAATTTAGACTCAAATAACCACAAGAGCAATGCTTATATTTGCCAATATAGTGCTGAAAAGGATGAGACTAATCTTTCTTGTGACAGCCATTTTAACACAAAACTTATGTGCCGAAGTATAATTAGCGACGACAATTGTGTTGAGCAAGACTCTCTTTTCGCAGCAATTTGTTTGGCCGAAGCAGGAA